TGAACTCTGTGCAACTTCCGGTTATACCGGAAGTGACCACTAACTTCGTTATTTTAAAGGGAATACCCCATATTTTTTTTTTAATTTTAGATTCAGAATAAAATTCTGTAAACAACGATACCCCATTTGCCTATTCTAGTTATAGAGGATTTGGCGTTATTTAATTTTTCTCTACATTTTTAGTCGCCGGTAGACATTTTCTTAAAGTCGTCTATCTCAGATACTATATCGCGGTAGTAGATGGGAGTACTTCTTGAGAATATTTAGTTATTCATTATTTGTTGTACAAATTATTTTTAAAAATGAAATTTTTTAAACATAAAAAACTTTTTTATTTTAAATTGAACACCCTATATATTTTTTAAATTTTAGATTCAGCATGAAATTCTGTAAACAATGATACCCCATTCGCCTTTTATATGCCGGCAGACATTTGCTTTTTTAAATTTACTTGTACATCGTTTGTTCGACTGTGTGATTGGAAATTATTTTAAAAAATAAATATTTTAAACATGAAAAATTTTTTTATTTTAAATGGAAAATCCTGTATATTTTTATTTCATTTTGTTCAGAAAATTATTCTTCATTGATCTTCATTTGCACTATTAATTCCCTATAATTATCTCTCGCCAATTTTAAGAAAATTTAAATTTAAATTTTACGCATGCACCTACATAATATAGTATAGTTTTACATTTTAATTTTTTATCTTAGTATGCCGTGGAAATATGCTAAACAACAATCTGTCAACAAACTGAATTGTCATATTTCTATGTATTTAAGCTGTGTATTTTTTGCGTTCAAAATATGGAAAATATGGAAAATATTGAAGAATATACCAACCAAGATATTCTTAATTTATTTTACATTCATGGAGAATGTAATCGAATCAAAAGTAGAACCTGCCGCATGTTTAATGAACGATACCCTCATTTACCACCAATGAACAGACAGAAATTTGATAGAATCGAAGCTAACTTTTTGAATAATTTTAAACAAAACCCGGGAAGAAACCGTCAACATTATGTCCGAGATGCAGAAGTTAATCTAATTAACGTATTAGGGTATTTTACTGCGTATCCTCGTGCCTCCATTAGAATGGTTCAAGATAAATTAAATATTAGTCGAGGGTCAATACAACGAATTTTAGCACTAAATAAATGGCATCCCTATGCACAAAGAAAAGTTCATGAGTTGCGAGATGGTGATCAAATAAGACGAACTGAATTATGCGAATGGTTATTGGTACGAATTCAAGAAGATCCCGAGATTTTAAACAAAATTTTGTGGTCAGACGAGTCGAAATATACACGTAAAGGGATCATCAATCGCAAGCAATGTCATTTCTGGGCAAACGAAAATCCACATTTTTATCGTGAAGCACAATTTCAGTAAGAATTTAGTTTTAATGTGTTTGCAGTGATCGGTTTTGGAAGAGCTTTTTATTACATTTATAATGAAAGACTGACCTCAGAAAGATACATTAGAATTCTTAGAGAAGTAGTTGCCGACATTTTAAACCAGCTACCAAATAATAATTTTTGGTACCAGTTGGATGGTGCCCCAGCACATTCAACATACTATGTAAATCAAGAAATTACAGCACTCTTTGATGACCGATGGATAGGTCCAAACGATCCTTGGCTTTGGCCTGCAAGATCGTCAGATCTAACTCCTGTTGATTTTTTTTATGGGGTCATATTAAAAATTTAGTGTACTCTACCCAAATTAATACTAAAGAAGAATTAGAGCAAAGAGTTCGGAATGCCTTTAACGAGTTAGATGGTGAAATGATTCGTAAAGCAACAACTAATCATGTTGAAAAAAGATTGTTAAAATGTTTAGAAGCTAACGGGGGACATTTTGAACATTTGATAAAATGATTTTTTTAAACCATGTGCTTTTAATAAAAATTGTTTTTAGTTAGTATGTACCTTATCATTAAAAAAATTTAAACTTTTTAAACGACATATTTTGTTGCAGAAAACTGTAAATGTTTTTAAACGTACATCCCATCTACTACTTCTGGCTAAAATTGCAAGTATCAAACAGAAATAGTACCGGAGACAGTCGACTAAAGAAAATGCCTACCGGCGCGACGACTAAAAATTAAAAAAAAATGAATAACGCCAAATCCGCTATAATTATAATAAGCAAATATGGTATCATTGTTTACAGAATTTCATGCTGAATCCTAAATTTAAAAAATATATAGGGTGTTCCCTTTAAAATAAAAAAGTTTTTATGTTTACAAAATTTCATTTTTAAAAATAATTTGCAAACACCCCGTAAAACAAATAATGAATAACTAAATATTCTCAAGAAGTACATCCCATCTACTACCTCTGGTTAAAATTTTAAGTATCTGATAGATATAGTACCTGAGATAGACGACTTTAAGAAAATGTCTACCGGCGACTAAAAATGTAGAAAAAAATTGAATAACGCCAAATTCGCTATAACTAGAATAGGCAAATGGGGTATCGTTGTTTACAGAATTTCATGCTGAATCTAAAATTAAAAAAAAAATATGGGGTATTCCCTTTAAAATAACGAAGTTAGTGGTCACTTCCGGTATAACCGGAAGTTGCATAGAGTTCATTTTATTTTAATTCAAAAGAGCATATTCGATTATGTATACTCAGAAAATGGCGAAAATACAAATTAATTTATTCTCCATAAAGTTGTAATGCCCGCCTTACGTGGGACACGGTGTATATTGACCTAATCGAAAAAGTTCAAAGAAAATTTATATAATAGGCTTCTTTTATATTAGATGGTATATATCCCCCAAGAGGCTTTTCTCATGATCTGCTATTAACACAATTTAAACTCTCAGATCTGGCAAAACGTCGAACTATTCAGCAAATAATACTACTTTGGAAAGTTCTTAATGGTCACATTGACAGCATTGATTTGATAAACTATGTTCAGTTAAAAATACTACGCGCAGGGCTTAGGGTGTATTTTAGCTTTTATTTGCCAGCAGCAAGAACCAACATTTTGCATTCATCCCCACTGTATCAAGCAATTAATGAGTATCATACTATCCAAGACAGCTTGGATATTTTTGCTTGCAACATACTTCAAATTAAACGTGATACTTCAAATTAAACGTGTTACTTTGGGTTAATGTGTTATAATTTTTTAAAATTTATAATTTTTACTTATGTATATTACTGAATTCTAGTTCGTTGTGTAATCTTAGTTTAGTTATTGGTATTATTGTCAATTAAACATATAGTACTTTATTCTGTAATAGCTATCCAATGTTAATATCCATTTTTTTCCTGTTTTGCATACAGCCACAGGTTTTTTTTCTTGACTATTGACACTTGGATTGCAAATAATAATGTATATTTATAGTCTTTATAATCAACATTTCACTTAATATTGTTTTTCTCACCCGTTAAATGGTTATCACTGTTGGGTGGTGTGTTAAATAAATTAATAAATAAATAAATAATTTGAAAGCTCGCTGGCAACTCTGCAGTTCCTTATTTCATCCCATATTTTCTTTAATTTTACAAGAGAATGTTCTTTAATTAGGTCTGTCACTACCGATGTTGTGAGTCCAACAGAACGGCCAGGTTTAAAAAATATTTGGTTGGTTGCCTTCTTGGCTAGTGAATAACCTAGAAGGCTACCTTTCGATGTGGCATGACCTTTAATCCATCTTAAGATGACCACAGTGTTAATGGATACTCTTGCCAAAACTTCGTGACATGACCTTTGATCCATCTTAAGGTGGCAACATTGTTAATGGATACTCTTCTCAAAACTTCGTGACATTCTAGTACCAACCCTGAGTAAATTTGTAGTCTGTTCATGGTAACTAATGCTTATCTACTATCTGTATAAATGAACATGTTCCTATTAGTGATATTGTTTCTGGTGATTTCTTTTGCTGCTATGAGAATCTCCGTGGGTTCGGTTTGAAGTACATTGTCACTATTGCTCATGGCCCATTTTACATTAAAGTTTAAGGAATTTGAGTATATTCCACATCCTGAGCCTTGTTTTGTTTTGGAACCGTCAATGTAGATGATGTTCATGTTTGCTTGAAGCAGTGTGAGTGTATCGAGCGCCTTTTGCCAAAAGCGACGTCTCGCCTCACCAGATCGTACAACAGGTTCTATTCCAACCGTGCAGAGACGTGTCATTGTCAACAGAGCCAACCCTCCTTGATGTACATATCAAGGGAAGTGAGACTAAGAACGACTTCCCTAGCTCTGGTTGGTGTGGTTTTTATGGCTCCTGTTATGTTGAGACATGCTGTTATTTGAATTTTTCTAGTTTGCGGATAGCTTTCAATTAAAGTATACGTGACGACTCTGGGGGAGAAACCCCAGATACGCCTCAGAGTTCGGCGTCATTGTTCATGAGAAATGTATTCTCTTTTGACCTTATTTTCTAAGTGTGAATTCCATGTTAACTTTTTGTCAAAGGTGCTGCCTAGATACTTCACCTCTGCAAAGTTTTGGTTTGTGTTTAGGAGCTCTGGAGGTTTTATTTCTTTTCCTTGTGAAAAGGATCATTTCTGTCTTCTTGGGATTGATAGACAGTGCACCATTGTTCTATTATTGTTCTTAAAATTCCCTATTTGTAGAATCACCTTACGCTATTTAGTAGTGACTGACATTATTATACCTACCGTACTTATTTCGTTATTAAATTAATCTATTTTATATAATGAACATAGTAAGAATTTTCTGTATGTCATTGTTTTTTTAGCGTGTGTTTAATTCATATGAACCAAACGACAAAAATTGATAAATTTTCATACGCTTCCTAGTGTATTAGGTTCACATGCTTTGGTATATACGAAAACTCATTCACTTTTGCTTCGTGGGTAGGTATTCTTTGACAGCAGTCAATTGAAATGTCATAATTTAAAAAAGGTTTTGAATTATTTTTTTAAAACTTTTTTTGTATAATTTTTTTTCAAACAGTTTTTGTCCCATTTTTCTCTTCATTATTTTTTTGTGCATATAAACAAAATGGAAGAAGATTCAACTACTGTTGAAGGAAATGAACATCCGGATTATGGAGAAGGGTCAGAGGGAGTCATCACCGGAGAGATAACTTCAGAAGACACGGATCTGACAGAATATATAGGAGAAACACAAACAGGGGAGAGCAGTGAGACTCTAGGTCTGTAGATTTTTATTGTTTAATGAGCGGATAATAAAAAAACTCTAAAACTGGAAGGTTTTACTTGCGTATACAGGGTTGGCCAAACCTCTGTCGTAGTTCTATAACTCCTATTATGCAAATCTTAACGATTTATTCGAAGTATACCTGTCAATGGTGGTCAAAACCAAATATCCCAAAATTATTTTCTTGTGTACAGGGTGGCCCAATAGTAAATTAGGCAAATCACTTATTTTTTTTTTTTTAAATGAAATGACCCAACTTTTTTTCCAATTTTAGGTACTCTATGGTAACTAGTGCATACCCACAAAATATTGTTTCTAACATCCTATCCCTTTCGCAGAAAAAGAAGAAATACCAAAAAATATTACATTTTCAGACGCCTATTAAAATATGCAGTGCTCTCTTGAATTTGACGATAGAATTTAAAAAACTACAAATGTATAAAGCCAATAGACCAAAGATTTTTTTAGACTAAGTTTTAATTTTTTATTTTGTACAGGATGGTCACAAATTAATTTCAATTTCCAAAAATTTCTAGGACATTTTTTTCAAATTTTTCAAATAGGACACCCTGTATTACTATTCATCGATGAAACGAGAATTTTATACCCTTCGACTTCCCCATGTATTTTCCTATACCTATCTGTCGTCGTTTAAAAGTAAATTCCAAAAAGACATTGATCTATCAAAAATCCAATTTCTACCAGTGGTTTTATTGAAAGTGAACATTCAATCAAGTAGGCTGGGTCTTAATGAAGTGTCAGATTATTTATTAATGAAGTGTCAGGTTATTTTTACTGATCGCGATAATTCTTCTATTAATAATGAATTTTACGAAAAACGAATTAATTGACATGGTCTATGTTTTGGGAGAATCCGACAGAAATATTGGCAAAAAGAATTTATCATCAACGATATCCCGATAGACGCATCCCTGATCAAAAAAGTTTTAAAAAGTTACATGAAAGATTTACCGAAAGAGGAAATGTTGCTTATAAAAAACCAATAATTAACAAACGTGCTACTGATAATGATAACCAATTATGTGTAATTTTGACAGCGATAGAAGATCCTCATGTAAGTCAAAAAAAGATTGCCGAAATAGTAGGTATAAGTAGAACATCCGTTAGAAGGATTTTAAAACAGCATCAATATCATCCTTATAAAATACAATTGCATCAAGAGCTGAAAGACACCGATTTTGATAATAGAATGGGGTTTTGTAACTGGGCACAAACTAAACTGCAACAAAATCCATTTTTTTTTTTTGATAGAGTGCTGTTTTCTGATGAATCTACATTCCACAAGAACGGATTCGTTAATAGACATAATTTCCACTATTATTCCACGGAAAATCCTAATATCATCAGAACACATAGCCAAGAAAGATGGAGTGTAAATGTTTGGGGAGGTATAATTGAAGGGAACTTAAATGGTCTGATGTATTTAGATTTTTTAGCAAATCATCTTCCTACTTTACTTGAAAACATTTCCCTTGCTGTAAGACTAACAATGTGGTACCAACATGATGGGGCAGCAGCGCATTTTTTACGCGAAGTGGCAGATGAATTAGATGAAAAGTTTCCAAATAGATGGATTGGTAGAAATGGTCCAAAAAAATGGCCAGCTCGATCACCTGACTTAACAAAACCTGAATATTTTTTGTGGGGTTATATTAAAAATCTAGTCTATCTTACGCCACTTTCAACACCTGAAAATATGAAAGAAAGGATAGTGCAAGCTTTCCATTCGATTACACCTGATATGCTTAGAAACGTTTCTCGATCATTCGCCCAACGAATAAATGTATGCATTAGAGAAAATGGCAGACATTTTGAGCATCTTTTATAAAATGTAAATTTATGTTTTAGGATAAATTTCAAATAAATTTTATTATCGTAATTTTCTTCCTTTTGAATTTATTTTATAACGGCGACAGATAGGTATAGGAAAGTACATAGGGAAGTGGAAGGGTATGAAATTCTCCTTCAGTTGATGAATAGAAATACAGGGTAATACATTTGAAAAATTTTAAAAAATTTCCCTCGAAATTTTTGGAAAGTGAAATTAATTAATTAATAAAAAATTCAAACTTGGTCCAAAAAAATCTTTGGTCTATTGGCTTTATACAATCGTAGTTTTTTAAATTCTAACATCAAATTCGAGAGAGCACTGCATATTTTAATAGGCGTCTGAAAATGTAATATTTTTTGGTAATTATTTTTTTCTGCGAAAGGGGTGGGATGTTAGAAACAATATTTTGTGGGTATGTACTAGTGACCATAGAGTACCTAAAATTGTAAAAAAAGTTGGGCCACCCTGTACACAAGAAAATAATTTTGGGATATTTGGTATTGGCCACCATTGACAGGTATACATCAAATAAATCGTTAAGATTTGCATAGTAGGAGTTATAGAACTACGACAGAGGTTTGGCCAACCCTGTATAGACAGAATACATGTGTGCAGGGTGGGCCACTTAAAAATTCCAATCACTCTTATCTCCGTTACCAATAATTGAGATATAGAAATAATTTTTTGTTTGTTTAAAAGTGTAAAAAAACTATAATATAACTAATTCAGTTATTCTTTAACGTCATGCGTACTTTCGGTTTTTTCGGAAACAACAGTAGATCACGATTTATTTTTATTTTTAATTGAAAACACCAATTTTGTATTAAAAATAAGCGGCGAATTACTTAGTCTTGTTTTTCTTTTTCAATAACTCAAAATTAGACAGGCAGCGCTAAAATTCTGCCTATCGTTGATGATAGATATATTCCATCCCTTCCTAACGTATTTTAAAAACATGACAAATACTATAAGAGTGATATTAAGAATATGATAGCCAGATACCTTTTATTTTTTGTGGTTTTCACTTTGGGGACACATACATCTTCAATAAATCCCACATTTTATCAATAATTTAGTAAATTTCATCCGATTTGGAAACTAAAATGTCTTCTGATGTTTCCTCTATAAAAAATGATATTTCTTCCTCAGAAACTAAAGTTTTCTCCGATATTTCCTCCTAAGAAAGAAAAGTTTCTTCTGACCTTTCTTCCTTATATAAGGTAAATGGGGCAAACATTGACATAACTTCATAATTTATTTTTTATTAGATCTCAATTTTTTTTTTAATCTCTAATAATTTCCTGAGACAGGCATACTATGTAGTAATACTAAGCAATGATGTACGTAATGTTCTAATTTGTACTTTATCCAAAAAAAATTTTTTTTTAATTTTGTGCGGTGTCAATGTTACCCTATGGATAGTATAACATTGACATCCTATATAAATTAAAGCCCAAGTCAATGTTAAGCAACATTGACACACATAAATAAGTCGAAAAACTATGTTGTTCTTAATAAAATCATATTTTTATTCTGAATAACAAAAGAATAATATAATGTGGGAAAAATCGAAAAATCGAAAAATCGAAAAATCGAAAAATCGAAAAATCGAAAAATCGAAAAATCGAAAAATCGAAAAATCGAAAAATCGAAAAATCGAAAAATCGAAAAATCGAAAAATCGAAAAATCGAAAAATCGAAAAATCGAAAAATCGAATAATCGAAAAATCGAAAAATCGAAAAATCGAAAAATCGAAAAATCGAAAAATCGAAAAATCGAAAAATCGAAAAATCGAAAATTCGAAAAATCGAAAAATCGAAAAATCGAAAAATCGAAAAATCGAAAAATCGAAAAATCGAAAAATCGAAAAATCGAAAAATCGAAAAATCGAAAAATCGAAAAATCGAAAAATCGAAAAATCGAAAAATCGAAAAATCGAAAAATCGAAAAATCGAAAAATCAAAAAATCGAAAAATCGAAAAATCGAAAAATCGAAAAATCGAAAAATCGAAAAATCGAAAAATCGAAAAATCGAAAAATCGAAAAATCGAAAAATCGAAAAATCGAAAAATCGAAAAATCGAAAAATCGAAAAATCGAAAAATCGAAAAATCGAAAAATCGAAAAATCGAAAAATCGAAAAATTGAAAAATCGAAAAATCGAAAAATCGAAAAATCGAAAAATCGAAAAATCGAAAAATCGAAAAATCGAAAAATCGAAAAATCGAAAAATCGAAAAATCGAAAAATCGAAAAATCGAAAAATCGAAAAATCGAAAAATCGAAAAATCGAAAAATCGAAAAATCGAAAAATCGAAAAATCGAAAAATCGAAAAATCGAAAAATCGAAAAATCGAAAAATCGAAAAATCGAAAAATCGAAAAATCGAAAAATCGAAAAATCGAAAAATCGAAAAATCGAAAAATCGAAAAATCGAAAAATCGAAAAATCGAAAAATCGAAAAATCGAAAAATCGAAAAATCGAAAAATCGAAAAATCGAAAATTGGAAAAATCGAAAAATCGAAAAATCGAAAAATATTGTTAATTCTGTCCCTAAAAAGTGGGGAATAGGTACGAGTGATACAGGGTGGATGAAAGAAGCAACATTTTATGAGTATATTGGCAACGTCTTCTATAAAGATTTGATAGAAAGGGGTGTCCAGTTTCCAATAATATTATTCGTAGATGGGCATAAAACCCATAATACATATGAAACGAGTAATTTATGTAAAAAATTAAATATAATATTAATTGCGCTTTATCCAAATTCTACTAGGATCTTGCAACCTGCCGATGTTTCGACATTCAAGCCATTAAAGACTTTTTGGGCGAAGTGTGTGTCAAAGTTTCATAGAGAAAATCCAGGAAGTACTGTCACAAAGGAAACATTTGCTGCTATCCTAAAAGGTGTTTTAGAAAATTTAAGACCAGATGTAATAAAACAAGGATTTAAAAGTTGTGGTATATTTCCTTGGAATGCCTCGGCTATAGATTACTCAAAATGTCTAGGTAAAAATATTGAAAAAAAAAAAAAATTTGAAGACGGCATAACTATTACATTTTCAAAATTTAAAAGTATAATCGGAGAAGACAGGCTACGATTATTTGAGAATATGAATGAGGAAACTTATGAAGACGAAAAC